CCTCAAATAGTATTTGTATAAAGATTTCCCATTCGGAAAGGAACAAAAACATTGCTAGCTAACAGGGAAAAATTCAAAATTTTAGGGCATTTTTCCTCAAAATCTTTTTTTTTTTGTTACTGCTCAAAAAATGATTCAAAAAATTTTTTAGTGTTATATTTCAGACAGTTCATTCAAATAATACATTGATAAAGCATTAATTCAATATATTTTGACAAAATGCTATTTTTGCACATGTTTAAATCAAAACCCTATATCTGCCTAAAAAAAGAAAAAAAATGTATAGGTCTTCTGGACGGGTTCTTCTCTAATGAAACGTTTTGTCTCTTCTCCAAGAGACTTCTTCAGTCTGAGAGTTTCAGGCAAAATTCAGGCTTTTAAGACCTGCCTCCATGTGACTGATACTCACATCACATGGCTATCGGTGACACCTAATTAACACTTATTGTTAACAGTGGGTGGAGTGATACTGGCAATGGCCGCGCTGTAGGAGCAAACCAATTGCTCGTTCCTCTAGAGGAACGTTGGTTTGAGAGAGGAGTAAAAGAAGCCATTTTTGTGAAGAAAGACCGTCCATCATTAAACAGAGGCGGAGGCCTCCGTTTTCAGTTGTCCCCCTCCTACAGCGCGGCCATTGCCAGTATCACTCCACCCCCTGTTAACAATAAGTGTGAATTAGGTGTCAACGATAGCCATGTGATGTATCAGTCACATGGAGGCCGGGCTTAAAAGCCTGAATTTTGCCTGAAACTCTCAGACTGAAGAAGTCTCTTGGAGGAGAGATGAAACTTTTCATTAGAGAAGAACCCGTCCAGAAGACCTACACAATTTTTTTTCTTTTTGATTTTTTACCTGGATTACTGAGATGCATCAGGACCTATATCTGCCTATTTCTCCACATCCCACTTTTGGACTTAATCCTCGTTTTGATGTCACTATCTCTATCTCGTGTAGACAGAGCTCGAATGGTCCGTCATTCGTAAAGAAATGTTAATAGTTTTCTTTTAAATTTCTGTTTTAATCTTTAGCAGCACCTCACACTTTTGTGGATAATGTTTCATAAATGTAAATGTTGACCCGGCTCCTACTCTGACTCCAGTGTGTGATCGTACACTCTGTGACCAGCCCGAAGCACCGCGCTGTGAAGACGGTCAAACTGTGGTGCTGAAAAACCCCGGCGAGTGTCAGCCCCTTTACGAGTGTGGTAGGCTGCTGTTCTCTCTCACGTTTGACTTCCCTCTGTTGAACACGTCCCAGCATAATAAACAGAATGTGCGTAATAAATTCTCACATCATTTTTTGGTTTCCTGTCTCAGTGTGCAAAAAGGAAGAGTGCGCCCTCCAAGCACCTCTCCAATGCCCGTCGCATCGCCAGCCGACAGTGAAGAAGACAAAATGTTGTGATGAGCTAGAATGCACGTGCAACTGCAAGAACTCTACCCGCAGCTGCCCCGCTGGCTTCGTCACGTCCTCCTTCACCGACGACTGCGGCTGCACAGAAGTCCGCTGCCAGCCTGACAAGGCGAGTGTTCAAACTCTGAACTCAGTCCTTCCACCTGCGCTGTTGGATTTACTGTATGTCCTGCGTTGTACCTGCAGGTGTGTGTTGTCGGCGGCGTGGTTCATCCTGTGGGAAGCGAGTGGGAGGAAGGCTGTGAGAAATGCACGTGCACCGGACTGCAGGACAAAGACACGTCGCTTCATGTTGCTCAGTGTAAACCGCCTGTTTGCGATCAGAACTGCCCTCTGGTGAGACATCATCCAATCTGGACATTTACACACAAATAATAATAAATAACTTTATTTTTTTCGTCCATTTCAGGGCTCATTATACACTCAGATGAAAGGAGAGTGCTGTGGAAAGTGTGTACCAAGCAGCTGTGTGGAGACAGAGGGTGAGAGGCGAGGAGACGCGCTCACCGTGGGGAAACTCAGACAAGTATGACTTCATATCATTTCAAATTTCTGAGAATCGTGTTTCTCCATAAAGAAGGGTATCTAGACTGTAAAGGCTGACATTTCTCTACGTTGATCTCATCTCTCACTGGTTTTAGGTGGGTGAAGTGTGGCAGGCCCCACATGATAAATGTGTCTTACACCAGTGTCTGAAAGTGAAGGATGAGGTGTTCATTTCTCCAACTAATGTCAGCTGTGCCGATATGGAGACTCCGACCTGCCCGCTGGGAACCGAGCTTCACTGCGACACCCAGGACTGCTGCCCCCGCTGCCGCTGTGGTAAACACCCACACATTTACACACACATGTACACATAAAGAACAAGAAGCAATAGATTAGAAAAGCAGACATCAGTAGTATCAGTGACCACACCAGAGTGATGATCTTTTGCTCGTGTCTGTGCATGTGGGCTTGTGTTTGTCTGTTACCAAAAGGTCTCATGAACCATTAGAGAAACCTGAATGAAACTCCATAATCTACTGCGACAGCTGATTCAAGATGGCTGCCACAACCAACTCATCATAAGAAATAACAAAATATGTCTGAGTGCTAACAAATACTCAGTGCTTCAGTTGCAGTTGAAGGGTTTTCCAGCAGATGTCTCTATCAGGCTTCAGGTTTACAGTACAGAAGAGGATTAGGACCACAGAGTAAAAAATATTATTCTTTCCTGAGTTCTGACTTTAATCTCAGACTTCTGACAAGATAAAATTAGAATTCTGAGGGACAAAAAGACAGAATTCTGAGATACTAAAGTCAGAATTATGAATTCCTTCTAACTCTGAGAAAAAAGTCAGATATCTGAGAAAAATGTCAGAATTCTGAGAAGTCAGAAATATGTCTCCATCTCTATCTGTCATGTTTATAGGACCACAGTGCAAAAAAATTACTCTTACCTTCTTTCATTACTTATATATATATAT